GAATTTTGAGAGGTAGGGTGAGGCTTTTAGAGGTGAAAATTTGCTTCATGCTAGTGAGCGATGCTCTTGCCTTTTCTACTCTTATACGTATTTACTTCGCTTGATCCCAATTTGAGTTAACTGTTGTTCCCAAGTAGATGTACGAATCCACGTGTTCAATTCTTTCATTGTCTAATATCAATTTCTGTGGTGGTTGTTGGGTTTTGCTTACTAACATCCATTTGGTTTTTGTGATATTTAGTCTAAGTTCATATTGTGCACTTGTTTTTTGTATCTTACTCATTAGGCAACTCAGTTCCTCCATTCTACTTGCTAGAATCACAGTGTCATCAGCATACCTTATGTTATTAATTATTTCTCCATTTATCTTTATGCCTTCTGTGCTTTCCTCCAGCGCTGTCTTAAATACTTCTTCTGAATATATATTAAAGAGAATTGGAGACAAGATACACACCTGTCGTACCCATCGAGCAAAAAGACAAAAGAGGGAATGTAAAGGTATTAGGGGCAAAAATATTGTTAGACAAGAAGTGCGATCTTTAGAGGCCACATTAAACAAGGAAAGAGAGTCTCTCTCTCCTTGTTTGACATCAAATTTAGTTGGGTTATGTTATTGTTTGTCCCAAATGTCACATGAAATTTTATTTATATTGAAGTTTTTTAACAATTGTGTCGCATTTTAGACTATTATCGTTAATAATTAATTAAAACTTTCTCGTCTAAGACACATTCTGAAAAATATTATATAGCTACTGTTAATAAGTGTCTGAAAATTTAAATTTGGCGCATTCACATTTCCGGATATGTCCGCCATCAGAGTCCACTTTTTTTGGTCTCCTTTTCATAAGGATTAGATTCTCTCTTTTGTCTTTTTGCTCGATGGTCGTACCCCTTTCTTGATCTCAATTTTATTCTTGCTCTCAATAGAGACTCGCTATTGTTCGAATGTCTCTGTAGTCGACTCCAATCTTATGGAGAACTTCAATTATCTTTTCGTACTTTACGTTATCGAATGCTTTTGCTTAGTCTATAAAGCATATGTACACGTCTTTGTTCATATCTCTGCAGCGCTGGATGAGAACCTGTAGACTAAAAAGTGCTTGTCTTGCTCCAAGAGAATTCCGAAACCCAAACTGCGAATCTCCAATGTTATCCTCGCATTTTTTGCTTATTCTGTTGTAAATAACCTTGGTGTATGCCTTCGAAATGTGGTTAATTAGACTTATCATCCGATGTTGATCACAAGACTTTGTTTTTGGTTGTTTCGGTATGGCAACAAAAGTTTTTCTAATTGTTACATCCGAACGTTATTGTTAGGAGCGAACATTCAGGAGACAGTGCCGAAAAGTTTACGAGGCAAAAAAACCTTCTTCTTCTTTTTCTTTTACTTCTTGTAGATCTTTCGATCTGTTTAATTCTGAAGCTGCTTCTGGTTTATTTTCTGGGAACTACCCCTCCATCTTTTAGATGGTCTTGAACCGGGCGGGTTGTTTTCTAGGGCAATTTTTGGGAGTCTATTCTCATCTATTCGTCTTAAATGACTGTACCTTATCACAATGACTTACAATATCTTGAATTTTGCACTGCTCTCTAACGTTTGTATTTCTCACCCTGTCTCTTCTACTTTTGCCTACTATGATTCTTAGGGTTTTTATTTTGGCAACCCTTAGCATCTGTTTCGTCTTATTGGTATCTTCGCGCACTTCTATGTCATATGTCATGATCGGTCGCATGCAAGTCTTGTGGATTCTAATTTTACTATCTGTGCGCGTATACGGATTTGACCAGATTATCTTCCTCAGACATCCTGACAATGCGGATGCTTTGTTGATCTGACTCCTTAGGTCCTTTACTGGGTCGTGTGTACTTAATATATCTATGCCCAGATATCTGAATTGCATCACCTGTTCTATAGGGTTGTTTTCAACCACTAACTTACATCTGAGCGGATCTTTAGCTATTGTCATACATTTAGTTTTGTTGGTAGAAATGATCATATTTAGTTGGTGGCTTATTTGAAAGAACTGAAAGAGCTGTCTCTGAAGATCATCTTCTGATTCGGCAATAATTGCTACATACCAATTCTTTTGTTATCTATGTAATATTTGTTTGTATCCGAAAAAAATCCATTTGCATTATAGGGGAAACCGGGGCAAAATGAGCACCGGGGCATGACGAACAATTCCTTAAATTTAGAAAATTCTCAATGCAGTTTGCCAACACCTCTCTAGCATAATGTAAAAGGCGCGTGCCCGAAACAGGCAACTCAGTTTAGACGAATCAACCGTTCGCTGCGGTCGTTATTTGTAATAGATATCTCTTTGTACACGTGATATAATTTTGTATGATATTGTTTAGTATACTACGGCAATCAGTGATTAGTTTTTAAAATTTTTACAGCTCTAAGATCAAAAGGTGACTTTAGTTATTACATTAATGTAACTTAAATCAAAAGAATTGTTGTGGTTTCTTTTAAGGAGGCAAAAATAGTTAAATATGAAGCGTGGGGCATAATGAGCGGGGCAAAATGAGCAATAATAGGGTGCCCATAATGCACCTGTTCGTATTGCCCCTCGTTATCAAGCTGTTAGATACACTCTTAAACCAACGTTTGTTTCTATATCAGTTAAGCAAATATGGTGCGTAATTATATAAAACAGACCAACAGACAATCTTGGACAGAGAATGGAATGGCACAAGCAATTGATGCTGTTTTAAATCGAAACATGGCGTGTCAAACTGCTGCTACAAATTATGCTGTTCCTCGTGCTACTTTAAACGTCGCATACGCCAATCAAGACATGTCTTGTGCTGTTAAAAAAGGCATGGGATTCTTCAAACCAGTATTTACACCAGAGGAGGAATTGGAGTTGGTTGGCTATATTCGAGATATGGAAAATCGCCTTTTTGGGCTTACATCAAGAGACCTTCGAAAAGTTGCATATCAGTTAGCAGAACGAAACGAAATTTCCCATAACTTTAATCATACCACCAAAATGGCGGGAGAAGATTGCTTGTCTGCTTTCCTTAAAAGGCATGATGTTCTATCTTTGAGAAAACCAGAGGCAACTTCTGCAGCACGCGCTATGGGGTTTAACAAAATTTCAGTAAATAGGTTATTTGAGCTTTTAACTACGACTATTGAGAAATACCAGATAACGGCAGATCGATTATTTAATGTTGATGAGACTGGCATAACCACTGTTGCCAAAAGTCTCAATAAAATTATCGCAACCAAAGGGAAAAAGCAAGTTGGGTCTTTGTCGTCCGCAGAGAGAGGGAAGATGCTTACTGTGGAAATATGTATAGGTGCAGATGGTTCATTCATGCCTCCACTTTTTATTTTTCTAAAGAAACGAATGAAGCCGGAACTGTTAGATGGCGCACCACCAGGGTCTTGGGCTGAGTGTAATGATTCAGGCTGGATGCAAGGTGATTTGTTTGTTAAATGATTTAAAAAATTCGTAGCATGGTCAAGAGCTTCAAAAGAAAATATTGTGTTGTTATTGTTAGATGGCCATTTTACGCACACAAAAAATTAAAAACTTATTGACCTTGCAAGACAGCATGATGTAGTTCTGTTGTGTTTTCCACCTCATTGTACCCATAAACTCCAGCCACTAGATGTAAGCTTCATGAAATCATTAAGTGTCTATTACGCTGACGAAATAAAAAATTGGTTAAGGTTGAATCCAGGTCGAGTAGTTACTCACTACCAAGTAACTGAACTTTTTGGAAAGGCGTTTATTCGAGTGGGAACAATGTCAATAGCTATAAATGGTTATAAAGCTACCGGGATATGGCTACCTAACCCAAATATTTTTGTGGATGCTGATTTTGTGGCAGCGGATACTACAAATATAGAACAGTCGCAAAATGCTGGAATTATGGAGCCTCGGCAGAACACGTCACCTTCACAAAGCATAAGGCACTCTCCACAACCTGGACCGTCAAACAGATCACCTTCTTCAGACTTACCTTCCCAAAACATAAGGCACTCTCCACAGCCTGGGATGTCAAACAGATTGCCTTTTCACGATTTACCTTATCAAAACGATAAGCCAACTAAATTTGTATTTGCTTCTTCACAGAAAATTTTTCCCATTCCAAAGACTACAAAGAAACAAAGGCAGACAAGAAATCGGGGAAAGACAGCTATTTTAACAGAATCGCCCTACAAGAACGAGCTCATGGAGTCAACTCAAATTAAAGAGGGTAGAAATTCTAACGCTGAATCTAAAAAACGAAAAGTGTTTAAGAATGATGAGGTTGAAAAAGAAAACAAAACAGAAAAGGTAAACACAAAAAAAGAAGCCAAAAGGTCTAAAACCAATGTGAAAAAACAAAAAACTGTCGAAGATGACTCGGAAAGTGACGTTTCCGATGTAGATTATCTATACTGTGGATACTCGGACGATGACGATGAGTGTAAATATATTTGTGAACAGTGCCTGAAATAAGCAAAACTTCTCTTAAATGCTGTGCTCATTGTACCTCATACCCGGGGCATAATGGTTTTTTGTTAACTTAACATTTTTTATTATTTTTTTTATTGTTAAATGAGTTTTAGGTTAAAATTGTATTTTGTAATAAAAAATAATAAATATGTAACTATATAGAACTAAAATAATTTCCATATTACCACGAACAAGATCAAAATTACCCAATGTCCTTAGGGTGCTCATTATGCCCCGGCTTCTCCTATAATATACGCCGCATGATTACGCACTGATCTGTATACAGATCAGTAGGTAAGAGACTCGCTGAAAAATACTTTTTAACACTAATCGTATGGTATGAAAACAATTTGGTCATTATCAAAAAAGACAAAACACATTATCGAAAAAATTATTAAATGGGTACTTAAAACATGTAAAAACCTTATCTGGTTTTGTCGTACATTGTGATCACTTGAGACTATCTACATTTTTTTAAAACCCCCATAGAAGGAAGTTTGTACTTTTACATCCGATTTTATTATAACAAAAGCTACTTATAAAATGCGACACTTTTTTGTTACAAGTTTTTTAGTATGTCTTCTAGGCTTTGTGGATTCGACCATTGTGGACAAATGTAAGTATTGTTGGAGACTATAAAAAATGTTTTTTTACCATTTATTAGGATATATTGCTATTTTGTATCCGTTTACTTTCAAATGGGTGTGGTTTGTGCAAATTGTTTGTGTATTTCTCTATTCTTCATTTCATTTGTTAGTAAATCTTTACCACTCTGATTAAGGACTTTAGGTTTGTTTTTCGTGTAACAAATAAATATCCAAAAATACTCTTGTGTTAATAATTATAGTTTTTAAAAGCAATCAGTTCATATTGATATTTATCCGAAGTATTTCGTTGTAGTAGTTTAGGTATCTACCCCTTCATGTATACGTGGCTATATCATCATCATCAATCAGCCAATCGCGTCCACTGCTGGACATAGGCCTCCCTCAGTTCTTTCCAGTGTTCTCTACACTGGGCCGCTTGTATCCAGTTTCCCGCTACACGTTTAATGTCATCGGTCCATCTAGTCGGTGGTCGTCCTCGGCTTCTTTTATAATTTCTGGGCCTCCATTCCATAATACGTCTTGTCCACCGTCCATCTTGTGTTCTGACTAAGTGCCCTGCCCAGTTCCACTTAAGCGTCGTGGTTCTTACGATGACGTCTTGAACTCTTGATCTTCGCCTGATTTGTTGGTTTGTTATGTGGTCTCGAAGGCTCACGTTCAGCATTGCACGTTCCATGGCTCGTTGTGTAACTCTAAGTTTATTCGCAGATTTTTGCGTGAGTGTTAAAGTCTCTGCTCCATAAGTTTGTACAGGTAAAACACATTGGTTATAAACCTTTCGCTTGAGACACGTGGGAATTGAACTTTTTAGAATATGGCTTAATTTGCCAAATGCTGCCCATGTTAGACCTATTCGACTCTGTATTTCATGTGTTTGATTGTCTCTGCTTATTTTGATTTCGTGTCCCAGATATTTGTAAGTGTCTGTTTGTTGTATGGTATTATTGTCAATAGTTATATTTCCACTCATTACGAGATTTGATATAATTTTAGTTTTCTCAAAGTTTATCTTTAATCCTGCTCTTTCAGACAGACTTTTAAGCGAATGCATCATAGAAACTGTATCTTGTAAGTTATCTGCGATTAATACAACATCATCTGCAAACCTTAGGTGATTTAATCTTTCTCCATCTATATTGATGCCCATATCTTGCCATTGAGTACCCTTAAATATTGACTCTAGAGCTGCCGTGAACAATTTTGGTGAAATATTGTCTCCTTGTCTAACTCCTCGACGTAAGCTGAATTTTTCTGTGTCTTCGTGCAGTCGTATACTTGATGTAGCGTTCTGATAGATGTTTTTGATTAGTGTCGTGTACCTGTAATCTATTCGGCTTTGATTTAGGGCTTCCAGTATTGTTTCAAACTCTACAGAATCAAAAGCCTTCTCGTAATCGACAAATGCAAGAACCAGTGGTATGTTGTACTCGATGCACTTTTCTATTAAGATCTTTATGGTATGCAAATGGTCATTTGTGCCAAATCCTGCCCTGAAGCCTGCCTGTTCTTTGGGCTGATAGAAATCAAGTTTAGGTGTTAGCCTCTTTGTTAAGATTTTCATAAAGAGTTTGTACATATGTGTCAAGAGGCTGATGGGTCTATAATTTTCTAATTTAGTAATATCGTCTTTTTTGTGTAACAAGACTATTACTGCATTGTTCCAGTCTTTTGGAATCGTACCCGCATGTAAGCATTTAGTAAACAGTTCGCTTACTGATTTTAATAAAATTTCTCCACCTGCTTTTATTGCCTCGATAACGAGTCCATCATCACCAGGCGATCGATGGTTCTTCATTTCCTTTAAAGCTGCTCTTACTTCTGACACAGTAATGGGTAAAAGTATTTCCGATCTCTGATTTATGAGAGTCTTTACTCGTGTCGGGAAATTGTCTTGTGGTCTTTGGCTAGCATAGAGGTCTTTATAAAATTCTCTAGTTATTTTCAGAATATTTTGTTTATCTGTTGTTGCCTTTCCGTCTTTATCTCTCAGCTTGTATATTTCTTTTTTACTTTGCGTAAGTTTTCTTTTCATTATCTTTAAACCTTTGTTCTCTTCTACTGTTTGAGTAATTACATTAGTATTATATCTTCTTACATCTTTTCTAATTTCCGCTGAAATTCTTTTATTTAGTTTTTTATATTCTTCTTTGTTTCCCTTTTCGTTCTCGCTTAGGTTTCATCGTATTTCCATGAGAGCCCTTGTATCTTTCCTAATCTTTTCACTTTTGGTGTCATTTTTCTTGCAAAATTTGAGTTGTGCGTTTCTAACTGAGACTGTTATTAATTTATTGTGATCGTCGATACTTAGAGGTTTGGGATTATTACTCTGTAAAGGTTCGGCTATATTTCTTATGTATGCTTCTGGATGATTTGGTGAATTCCAAACTATGCGTTTGCAACTGTTTATCATCTTTGCTCTTTCTTTTTGTAGATTAATGGCTATATAACAAATTCTTATTTTTGGGAATTAACGTGTTTGTTTTAAAATATTCATAATATTAGATTAAAATTTATAGTTCGATTTGGAATATATTGCATTTTTACCATGTATACCTGATAGTTAAACTTCTGGACAACTTTAAAACCGCTAACCTCTATTATATTAATAGGATTACCATCTTCATTCTTTCCATTTTTCATTAAAACACGTTTTTTAGTTAAATTGTGTTATATACGCCATTTTTTACTCTTGGCTGCTAATATTTCTCTTGAAATTGATCAGCTTTCTCAAATGCGTGTTCCTTATCTCCGACGGTGTAAGACTATTCTCTTCTAGAAATTGTAGCAATTTGAAGAAGATAACTATCTGTATACTAGGTTTTTCCTTTTTTTATTTTATCAGACACATTTTTGTTTGATTTGCCTATCTTATTGAGATGATATTTTAGAATAATTTCTTCGGTGAGAAGGTCTGTTACCACTATAATATGTTTTTTATTTATTTTAAGAAGATAATTTGGAGTTTATAGCGATAATTTTACAAATATTTTGGCCTGTCTTAGTCCTGAAGTATCAAACGCGTGATATCGTAATTGTTTGTGCATCCAGGCACAAAATTTCTGTGACGTAACTTTTAGTTACTCTATAGAAAAAAAAAACGATCCCTTTATCCCTTTATGAGTCAACATCCAAGTGTCATGTTATATTGTTGTTTGCAGTCGGTTTTTTAAGAGATAATTTACATTCCAAACCAACTATGACTCATAACTAAAAGAACAATTGGCAGGATAAAAGAATATACTCTTTTGAGACATTCCTGACCGCTCCTCTCCATCTATGGCATGTACTTTAGCCTTAAATATGTTTGGATTATTCTACCTATCTTGGATGGATACTCTGTCTTTACAAGTACATCCACTTCCAGATTTTGTTCCGCTCCAGCAGCTCCAGCATAAGTTTCTATAGTCACTTTATGCCGCATGTCAAAATTAACTGCCCTATTATATGTTGGTTAGTTCAAGGTTTCCGATGTAACCTTCTCCAAGGTCCTTAAGTGACCAACCATATTACCAGGTTTAATTTTTTTGTGTCTGATATATGTAATATTTGTCTGGTGACAGTATGGTAGATGCTGCCTACCTTCTTCTTCTGCTGAATAGAGGCTCTTCTTTGTAATATTTTAAAAATTTACCATGATTCCAACAAATTCTTTTGCTAAAGTGGCTGCGGTTATTTTTTTTATGTATACCTACCTAAATTTTATGGGTTTTCCATTGTACCCTGTATTATCGTTTATTACCCCCATGGACCATTAAGGACGTTAAAAAATAGAAAATCAAAAAAGGGTTTAATAGTAATAAATCTGGAGATTTTATCTTCCATTGAATTGTACCCATTCTTTCTTACCATCTGTCTTGATAAACTTCATGTAATTTCCAACATCCGTGCTAAAGCGTGGTGACGTACCATTCTGCCGAAACCAAATGTTATGAAAATTGTTACCAACAACATTCCTTATTGCACGAATTACATGATTTTGTAACAAATCTAAGTGTTTTTTGCCACCTAAATTGTTCTCTATAAAACCTGAACTCCTTGTAGTAGTACTGATAATACCTTAACGACCTGTATCCTTGTATCCATCTGTGATCATTCATCGGAAATAAAACTATCCTATTTGTAAAATGAGTGTCCACATCTACCGTTTACATTATAGTTTCACAAAATTTCATTCTTAACTCAAAATCTTCTTCAGATAATTCTTGAACGTGGATTTATCCGTATATATCATTATAAGCATTAAATTTATTTTTCTGGATAATGTTATGAATCGATCCCGCATTAACATCATATTCTTATATAGTTTTTCGAATGGATATATAACAGTTTTCTACAAAAGTTTGCATATCATCCACAGATTTCTTTTATCGTTAGTTTTTGTCTTTGTTTGGCCAGTTTTGGGGCTGTTTTTAATAAAACCCATTTTTTTATAACGGTTCACAATTCTCTAAACTGCAAGCTAGATCAAAATCCCTACTGTTATATGCTGCCGATACTGCGCTCATCACGTCAGGCCCACATAGGCTATGCTTGGACAAATGTCTGTATTTGATAGAGCTCAAAATTACCTAAACTGAGTTGTTAAGTGGTGCAATAGATTGAGAGTGAAAATTAATATTATTTAATTCTCCCCATTACCGTAATGTTCAGGGCCAGATAACCCTGCTAGGAGAAGACCTTAATTTCAGAAACTCGGTGTCCTATTTGGAAATTCATTTTAACAGGACTCCCAACTGGAAGACCGACATACAAAACACCCTAGATAGAGTAAGAAAAAGGGCAAAACTCCTGGCAGCGTTGCACACCTATTGCACACCTTTAAAACCTTTATCAGACCTATAATCGAATACAGGTATGCGTTTATGCGTCGCTTAACACCCACCAAATGAACATCATCATGGCCACAGAAAGAAATACTTAGATTCTGCACCAGAAAGCGCAGAGACTCTCCGTCAGCACTCATCCACCAAGTAGCAAATATATCACCAATTAAGGACAGAATCTGAAC